GGGGGGGAGAGAGAAGTGGGGAGAGGCACAGGGAGGGAGGAGGGCCAATGGGGAGCAGAGAGGAGGGGGTAAGGGGTGGAGCAGAGAGGGGGGAAGAATTAGTGCCAAGGGGTCTGTGGGGACAAGGGGACCCAAGATGTTTTCTCACACAAGGTAGCTAACTAGATGTGGGTGGGGGTCCCTAGATAAGGGACAGAAAGGCAAGTCTAATCCAATGAGCACCCTGACAATAAGAACCCCTGGGGACTCATCCTTTCCCCTCGAGGCCATATCTCGACTCTTCATTCTGAAAACTGCAGAGGCTTCGAGGGGCAGGACACATCTGGGCAACATCGGGTTCCCTGGGCCTCTCCCAGCACGAAGGACATAGGGTCCTCCTTCAGCAAGCTCCTGGCTACAAGGCCCAGACTCAGGGAATCAGCACAGTCCTGGGGCCGCAAGTGGGACCTGCTGGCGGCCCAGGCTCACCTGCTGCAGACACGGAGACAGGTGCATGTGTGTCCCATCTGCAGGGAGCAGCCCTGGGCCAGGCTTCTTTGTACATTCGAGTCCCTGAGCCCATCACAGGACTCTGGCTCTATTGTGCAGGTGGTGGTAGTTCCGTTAGCATTCTTCCCCCTGAACCACCTGAAATTATTGCGGGGAGATGGCAACTTAAATAAAGAAATAAAATTGCAATATTGGCAGAGACAGAGATTGATCCAGGAACCAGAGGTCCCGGTGGGTCCTGAGGGGACACGGGAGGACCAGGCATCCTAGGTCATGTGGGGCCAGGAAGACACCCTGAGCCGGGACCCCCAGGATTGGCCTCTAATCAGGGCGGGGGCCAGCGGTGTGCACTGAGTAAGTGGACATTCAGCCTTGAGTTTCTACACTCAGATGCATCATCCCCAAATTTCACATCTGCACCCTGGGGACCTGACTTTCCCTATGGCACCAGCCAGGGCCAGTGAGAGGCTCGAGGGCCACACTGAAGTTGGTTCCCCTCCAGCTGTCACTCCCAACCTCACCTGGGGACAGTGTCGGCTACGGGCCCCACTTGCACAGAACATTCTCTGTGGCCAGACTGCCAAGGACACTGGCCCTGCAATGATTGCAGCTTCTCTGCTTCGAGCCACAGGCCTCGGAAAACTCTAGACATGGGACCCAGACTGGTGTCGGCCTCGCTTCACGGAGGGAAGCCCTGCTCATTTCCTGCTTGGCCTCATTCCCACCGCCTTCCCCTCGCCTCCCTGCCCACTTTGATCTACAGCCAGGCCAGAGGGTTCTACTCCTTGATGTCCACCAGTTCAGAAATTAAAACTGAGGGTTATTAGTTCATTATTTGTTAATTCAGTGAAATGATGATTACATGCTAACATAAATAATAACTTTTTATGAAAAGTCTTTTCAAAAAATATTTAGGAAGGAGCATGACAGTGTTGCACTTGGGCAGAATCTCTGCTCTGCTAAGTCGAGCTCATGTGCTCCCATCTGCTCCTGGGTTCAATTCACCGG